TAGAAAAGCTATCAAAGCAAGTAGCTGCTTTGCAGACTCAACAAGTTCATGCAGTCCAAGGTCCCAACCAGTGCTTAGAAGAAACGGAGTCTTTAAATTGCGTGAATGATACCAACCGACAACAGAATAACCCGTACTCCAACACATATAATCCGGGATGGAAAGACCACCCCAACTTTGGATGGGAAGGAAATCAGCAAGGACAAAGACAAGCACCACCTCAAGGTCAACCTCCTAGTTATTCACGGCAAGCTCCCGGATTCCAAAATCCACCTGAAGCCCCACCTCAAGGTGGAGATCTTGCAAATATCTTAGCTCAATTCATGACATCAACTCAAGCCTCCATCCGAAATTGGAAACAAAGATGGGTCAATTTGCAACCTAACTAAACGCGAGACCAGCCAGTGCATTGCCGTCAAATACGGAAGATCCTCGAAAGGGCAACATCGAGCAGTGCAATGCTGTTAGTCTAAGGAATGGGAGACAATTGGAGGAAGCCCCACGAAAAGAGAAAAGAATTACGGTAATCGAGAAGCTGCCAAGAGTGATTGAGGAAAAATAAACAACTGACGAAGAACCACTATCATCAACAGTGATTTCACAAGCCCTTCCAATTCCATACCCTCAAACGTTTCTAAAGAAGAAGCTCGATGCCGAATACCAAGGATTTTTGGACAAGTTGAAGAAAATTCACATAATATCCCTTTTATCGAAGCCCTTCAAAAGATGCCAAAGTGGGTGAAATTCCTCAAGGATCTCGTGACAAAGAGGAATAAATTGCAAGGGAACGAGATGATCCAACTCACGGAGCAATGCAGTGCAATTCTTACACGGCCCCTTCCACAAAAAATCGGCAATCCAGGTAAGTTCACTATTCCTTGTACTATAGGAGGTAAAAATTTTAGATCACTCATTGATTTAGGCTCTAACATTAATCTTATGCCCTATTCCACTTATAAAAAACCTTGGGTTAGGTGGGTTTGAACCGACGGCTATAACTCTTCAATTAGCCGATAGGTCTTTAGTTTACCCAAAAGGTATTTTAGAGAATGTGCTAGTAAAAGTAAACAAATTTATCTTCCCTGTTGATTTCGTTATACTTGATATAGATGAAGATAGGGAGATACCTCTTATTTTAGGGAGACCGTTTTTAGCCACGTTGAAAACTCTAATTGATTGTGCTAGTGGTGATCTTACAATGACGGTGCATGATTACACGATCAAATTTAATGTTTTTAGTGCTAATAAAAATCCATGTGAAAATAATGATTGTTTTGCTATTGATCTTATGGATTTTACAAATCATGAAAATTTTGATGTTTTGATCTTGGACCATGGGAAAGCATCTTTGAGTGCAGGAGATAATGGCAGAAACGGGAGTCCGAATGAGCAAGTTTATTTTGTGAACTCGATCTCTACTCTTCCGAGAGATAGTAAAAAGAGTTGGGGTGTTAACGGTGATGAAAGTGCGAGGAGAATGTTGCCACCTAAAGAACCAAACAAGCCACGAGAGAAGGACAGAGTCAAAGGGAAATTGCACAAAGTGTTATTGTGCAAATCCCGTTTTTGGTTAGTCCCAAGAAAGCGCAAATCAAAGTGGTCGGAACCATTTATTGTCCAAGAGATTCTCCCACACGAAGTAGTCAAGATAAAGGAGCGAGATTCGGATCGAACGTTCAAAGTGAAAGGTAGCCGGCTCAAGCCTTTGTGGGAAGCGAGTAAAGATTGCCAAATGACTTCGGTCACTTTTGCTTGAACATAAAGAAGCAAACGTCCGGCTGAAGACTTTAAACTTAGCGCTTCTCGGGAGGCAACACGAGATTTTTAATGTTTTATTTATTTATTTATTTTTAGTCTTATTTATTTATCTATTTATTATTATTATTATTATTATTATTATTATTATTATTATTATTATTATTATTATTATTATTATTATTATTATTATTATTATTATTATTATTATTATTATTATTATTATTATTATTATTATTATTATTATTATTATTATTATTATTATTATTTATAAAAGCATGCTATCTAATGAACTAAGCGATATTTTTTTTTTTTGTCAGGAGGAAAAACGCAACTCTGATTCCCCACGGTCGTCCCAAAACAAGGCCAAAATCTGATACGGCCGTGTGGAAATGGGAAAAGGCTACTGCCCAATTTTGACGTTTCATACGGCCGCACCAAATTAGCCTACAATCTCATACGGCCGTATGAAACGCCAAATCACTACTGCCCAATTTTGGCGTTTCGTACGGCCAAAATTTTGTGGCGCTTCATTGATCTTCGTTTTTCGCATTTTGTGGTGTAAAATTTTGTGCTTATGGTGTAGAGAATCGTTGCTTTTATAGGCTTTTCTTGATAAGGAAGTAGTGGAAACCTATTAGGAATCAATTTCCGCCACTTTCCCCCATCAGGATTTGTTCTTCGATTTTCGTCATGTTGGAGTCCAAATTTCGGAATGTTGCATAAATAAGAATTGTAGCCCTTGAAATTAGCTTTCCAATGCCGCCGAAATCTGCTGATTGGGAGTTCGTATAAGAGAGATATTCTCGAAATGGTGGACACTGCCAAAGTTGTGGCGATATTCCTTCTTCCAATTTGATTTATTTCCTTATTTGTAATTTTTTCCTTTCTTTTTGATCTTTTTTTCCTTCATGGACACCCAATTCTCGTTTTTCACCTATAAAACAAAAAATCAATCAATTAAAGCACAAATATAATTAGATCTAAACAAAAGATCCACGTAAAGTAAACGTATTGAGCGTAAAATCTACACTCAACAAATGTGCTCGACTCTGCAGCTGGAGGAATGTTCATGAGTTTGACCTATGACGAAGCATACGAACTCTTGGAGAGAGTCGCTAGAAATAAATACATGCGGACATCAGACCGGTCAAATAGCGGAGCCAATAAGACGGGAGGAATTATAGAGTTAGACGGGACCACCGCAATCATTGCTCAGTTAGAAAAGCTATCAAAGCAACTAGCAGCTTTTCAGACTCAACAAGTTCATGCAGTCCAAGGTCCCAACCAGTGCTTAGAAGAAACGGAGTCTCTAAATTACGTGAATGACACCAACCGACAACAAAAGAACCCGTACTCCAACACATATAATCCGGGATGGAAAGATCACCCCAACTTTGGATGGGGAGGAAATCAGCAAGGACAAAGACAAGCACCATCTCAAGGTCAACCTCCTAGTTATTCACGGCCAGCTCCCGGATTTCAAAATCCACCTCAAGCCCCAACTAATGGATCCCAAATCACCTGAAAAAACAAAATTCAAAAAACGACGATTTTCTTTCAGTTCGAATTGTCACGTCGAGGTGGTAGACCCGTTTATATAAATAACACATTCCGTAAAGGATAGCACAACATCTTTGTCCACAGTTATAGACAATGTATTGGGAGAATGCACGCTAAATCGCCAATGTGATATTTTAGGTAACTCTAATGGCTTTTATTTATATTCTAAACTAGTACTACACCCGTGCGATGCACGGAGTAATCATCGTAAAAACAAATATTTAATAATAAAGAGCTTATAAAAATAGCAAGATCAATTGTTGATATGTAATACCAAAATGTAAAAAATATTAAAAATAAAATGTAATTTGTATAGTGCGAGTGATGAATTAAGTTAAAAAACCAAACATCTAAGGTTTTAATTTCCGCATACAAAGAGTGAATATATCGTTAGTCCGAATCTCATTTGCTATAATGATATACCTTTGTTCAAAATTTGAATCCGATACAAACAATTAGGTTTTTTATACCAACAACTCTAAAAGCATGTAACGACTTCAATGCATTGCAGTTGACCTGCATATTTTGTACAATGATCATACGAAATAAGTAAAACATTACCAGACCAATACCAATATAAATATTTAATGATATAAAATCAATTTTAAGAAATTACCTTTTTGAGCAAGTTCGTAGTATAAATTCAATTAAGCTACGAATGAGGATACAAAACATA